AAAGTCACATTTTCAACCATAAACAACAACAGCTTATTAAAAGGAAAACACCTTTTAGATTCGTTTAGGTCGAAGATACAACACTACGATCGACAGAGAAAAAAATGTAGATTTTCACAATGAGTAGCGTCTTTTTCATGTTGATTGTTTGGTATGATGGGTAACTACTCCAAATTCTTTTTTGAGCATTACTAGATGTGATAAGTTTGGTGAGATTAGGTTTTCTGGATACAGCTGATTAGAGACCTGTATGGATGGTGTTTTTTTGTCCATAGAATTTTCAGGTTTTTTAGATAAGTTTGCCGTATTAACATTTTTTCTCCGGGGTAGTAAAAATAACAGCAGATTATATACATATCGAACACGGAGATAAAGACGTTTTTGTGTCGTAAAAACATGTGCTGAGAGAAAAGAAAATGAGACTATATAGTCTGTTTGTTTATTGCTTTCTTTCTTACAGCCAAACATCTTATCACTAGTGTCCAATCAGATTCTTGCTTTGAAAATAAATTGAAAAAATGTTCGGCTTATCCATGTCCATCTTGATTTAACGGCCATGGAATGCCGTTGCTACGACCTCCGACGTTTTTTTGCGGCAGTTTTTCCTTGCCTTAAATACATTGCGGAAGAATTGTAATCAATAATTGTCCATTCAAAATAGATTTTAAAACTTTTCAGCTTATCCATGTTCATCTCATCTATGTCCATGAACAAATTTAAAAAAAACTGTCAATTACAATGTCTGTGAAGATCCATGGACATGTTCATCTAATGCAAGGCTCTACAGCTGATATAATTAAGACAGATTAAATGTTAACTTATATTTGTCATTAGTACACGGAGATAACTGAATGAAGAGCTGGGGCCTGTTTCTTAAAAAAACTTAGTAGAAAATCTTACTTAAGTCAAAAAAAGACAAAGACTTTTTTGGACTTAAGTTTGACTTAAGTAAGATTTTCTACTTAAGTTCTTTTAAGAAACAGGCCCCAGGCCCCTGAGAGACAAGAATAAACTAAATTAGTTCAAAGTCAGACAAAGAAACAAATAAAAACTCGATGTATCTTTTCTGACTGTGCCATTATCCCATTAGCAGAATAGTATTTAAGAATAGTATTTATCAACGGAATAATTAGTTGCTAAATCATTTTATTTTAATTCCTTCAACTTAGCCACAAATACACTATAAAAAACAAAAAAACAACAGAAAAAAAACAGTAAGAGGAATTGTAAAGCATAAACACAAAAAAACGAACGTGTATTTTGGACGTTTTGTTTTCTGGAAAATATGCAACTGACAAGTAAAAAGAAAGAAGAAACATGTTGATAACAGGCGAAATTCGCTAACGAAAAGGAGAAAAAACGGAGTGTAAGAAACATCACCAATCTATGATTTCTCGGAGTTGATTTAAGAAGACAAAATGCTTTTAGTCACTGTTTCAATACTTTACTGTGTAGCTCGCTCGTGGTGCTTTACCTACAATTTTCGATGATTGGTTGTTTTTTTTCTTCTCGTCTGTCAACAGCAAAAAAAATGAAAATAAGAAGAATCACTGAACAATATACGTAAACGCATACCAAAAAAAAGATAAAAGTATGCATTATAGAAAACATATGAGAAGAGAAGAAAAAAAACAAAAAAAGATGAATATAAGGACGGTTGAGCGACATTTCGAATTTCACTCGACAAGTTTTTGTACAATAAGAAGATGAATGAACAGAGAGACAAATCAAATGATAGAAGAAAAAAAAAAGAAACATCTACTGTTTTGTGTGTACTAAGAAATATCGCCAAGATTCCATCCCTTGAAACTGTACTAAAGAACAAAACAGAAGCTATCATAATTATAATTGGTAGAAATGTTATTTCTCTCTATTCAAATGCCAATTTTCCATGTAATTCAAAATCCAACGTACTTAGATAATTCGACACAAACGTTTTTATAAATAATCGAAAAAGAAGCTCAGTTAAAATTTTCTTGATATATCAAAAAAGTAAATCGAATACAAAAATTGCTAATATTATAAACGCTCAATTAACTCATGTTTATCACGCATTGACATTTGTTGTTGTTGTTTTCTTGGATCTTTATCTCGTTTATTTGCCGCTTTTAATTGTTCACGAAATTCTGCAGCTGATAATCCTGTGAATAAATAAAATAATCAAATTTATTCTAGTTTCAATTGTTCAAAATATACATACCTAATTCTGGTAAAATAGTGTTATTGCCTGATTGTTGTCTATAATTACTACCTACAGGACTACTACGACTATGTTCATAGCTTGGCTTAGGACTTGGAACTTTAACGTTTTCATCTGTTCTCTGAGTCAATGATGTGAATGCTGGTGGTTTATATTGTTCTTGAGGTATTCTTGTTAATGATGGTTGTTTATAATGATTATTTGTATCGTGATCATCAGGCGATGGCGGTGAATCATGCTGAAATAGAAGTTCAAAAGTCATTCCTAATAAGAGTAGAAAGCATGTTAAGTAACCTGTATTGGCGTGACTGTTTTTTTCATGGGATTGCTATTCAACAGTGATGATTCCGATGACTTTGTGTTAAAATGAGATGATAGGCCAGTATTATTTTCTAAAAATAAAACGTATTATCTCATTGAGAATAATCGACAATGCTTTTCTCGTCTATTGACACAAACCATGACTTTTTTGTGGTGTTTCCATTTTTTTAACATTTGAATCATTTGATCTTACAACAATATTTCTATTTTTATAATAATCATCAGCATCGGTATCTAATACGAGTAATATAACTTCATCCGGATATTTTGTTCCATCTCGCGATACACCTTCTTTTATTCGCGTTACAACTTGTTTATGATTTTCATTTCCAATATTAACAAAATTTACTTCGATAATTCGATCATGTTCACGAAGACCAGCTGCTTCGGCCGGACTATTTGGATCAACCTACAAAAAAACATCAACTATAATTATGTCAAAAAAACAAAACAAAAAAGAACCCGAGTTAATTTAACCTACTTTGCCGATAAATTGGCCGGGTTTTGATTTTTCACAGTGTAAATTAAAACCATATCCAACAAAATCATTCCAACGTCTTAAATGACATAAACGTGGATGTGGTTCATTCTCATAGTCTCGTTCGTCGCTCGACATCTGATGGAAAAAATTTTGTATCTGAAAGGAACAAAAGAAAAAGAGAGAGAGAAATGATCATAGACTTGTTTCGAGGTAAAATTGTTTATTTGCACTTTTGATCCTATTGAAAATATCAAAAAGGACATCAAATCAAACGAGAAAAAAAAAATACAAGGTTCACTGAATAATAGACCAGTTTCTTTGAATAATGAATCAATCATATTTTTTTATAAATATACTAAAATTGCACAAGAATAAATGACTTAGCCTGTTTTCAAACATAGAAATTTTTTATGCGGTTTTTAAAACAAAAAGAAAAAAAAATCCTCATCATACAAAATTTGTTTGTTTTATGCATATTTAGGTCTTCTTCTTTTTTTTTGTTTTATTGTATTTTTTATGTTCCTTTTGTAAAGAAAAAAAAAAACTGATCATTATTAACAGAAACAATGTGTTTAAAATAAAGAATAGAAATGGGACAGATTATTAGGATCTTCTTATGGAAAAACTGTATTATATCAACACGCTATTCCCAATTCATTATGAGATTGAATTTCCTCAAAACTAAAAACGTTGTCTTCTATTACAGATTAAAAGAATATATGTATTGGGGCTGTTTCTATACAAATATTCACAAGAGAATACACATCGATCACAGTGATCATATTTAGATCGATACACGCGATAAGGTACATACAACCTTTGATCAAAGTAAATAAAAAGTTTTCTTTTCTTATATACAAAGTATAATATTTATTGAAGAAGAATAAAAAAAATAAAAAAATAAAAAAAAATTGGGAAGAGATGAATACAATGAATTTATATATATATATATATGTAGTATTTGATTTCGTTAAATTGACATTGTGTCCCTGTTTTTGTATATCTATTGTATGTCTATATGCGGCATACAATAATAGTGACCGACAATAATTTGTTAGAGAGACGACAAATAAATTGGATTCAAAAAGCAACATCAAACTTCAACTAATTCAAAGAAGAAGAAGAAGAAGAAAAAAAAAAATTAGACTGGTATTTTCTGGTTGACACAAGCGGGATTACTAATCTAATGTCATCAAAATTGAAGAATGATCAAATCTGAGATGATCAACAATCATTTATCAATAAAAATAACGTTCAGATAAATTTTGAAAGCTTTAAATAACTAAAATATTTGACATTGTATAGTTATATATTCTAGACTATTTTTATTAATCTAGTTCTAACCATATTTCTAATATAAAAATATCCTTGATATCTAACTAATAACTCCTGTTTATCAAATTTTATACTCATTTTAAGATTTTTTTTATCTAAAATGCTACTTCTGATCTATAGAATGTTCAATGAAACAGAATTTTTCATTAAACTCAAACAGCTGGGAATATACTTAAACAAAAACACAATAAAAATCGAGTTCTTTCTAGTTTCTTTTTTCACTTTATTTCTTATTTTCTCATTTACTGTTCGTTACCTTTATCTAGAAGTGAATTTATTTCTAACCAAGGTAACTAGAAAATGTCCGTCCAATTCTGGTACAATTATGATAAATTATTCATTTCATTTGATATACCAAAGAGATAATATAATACTAAAACCAGTGATAATCATCTTATTCTTTAATATCGTATCAAAAAACTTTAGATTCTTTTTTTTTTTGTGCTCGTCAAAAATAATATGAAAACAAAACTTTTTTTTCTTTATTAAACTGTTTTTAGTTTCTTTTGGTGCTTTCTTAACACAATAGAAAATATTTCTCTATTAACAACAACATATTGAAAACATAATCTATTAAAGAAAGCGAAAGAAAAAAGCAGCAAGTATATAATATTTTCTTATGTTTGAATGTCTCTACTGCAATATTGTAAAAATTAATAATACATGAGAACAAAATTCATTTATTTTTCTTATTTTTAAAATAATGATCATTTCTGATGAAGAGATGTTCAGTCTGTTTTGGATTTGTTTGAGTGTCAGCGAAAACTATGAATCGAGTATAGCAAAAAAAAGTAAATTTCATAGTGTTAGATAGAAATCGACACAAAAAATAGTAAAAAGTCTGATTGAGAATTGCTCAAACAAAAAATATTCATGAAGAAAAGCGGAAAATTTGCTATATGTTTTAAAAGAATCTTCTCAAGAGATCGTAATGATTCTATCTATATTTTTTTGTCACTCTTAAAAACGAAACTAACTAGAGATTTTAAGAGAAGAAATGTCATAGTTAAAAGTATGAATAATTGAAATACCTGCTTAGTGCATCAAAATACACTAGATTTGTACTCATTAATCGTTTATACACTGAAGGTAAGAGCTTGAAAATGTTTGTCTGTATTCTTTCTTCACGTTCATAACAAAGTTATAATATAATAACTTCTATGTATTCTGTTCTTTCAATATAATGGATTCGATCAGTCAGTAACAAATGTACTGACTGATCGAATCCATTCACACATAAAGTGTGTATATATGTTTATGTTACACTTGACTTCAATTATTAATCAAAACAAAAATTAACTGCCAAAAGTGTCTATAATCCATTTTCTTTTCTCAATATGATGATAATATTCACCATTCTACATTAGCACATCACTCTTTTCAATCAAACACGAAGCAACAAAATAATCTTCTTACACTAAAATAAACTATTCATATTGTACAGAGTATCTATCAAAAAATTGTTCTTTCTTTTTGAGACAATTTTGTATCAATAGACATCTGGTTGAACATACGTATGGCCTTCTTCTTCTCTACTGTACCTCCTATTTTTCTTCCTTATTCTTCTTACATGATCAAAAAATTCTTAACTGTAGTATAATACGTTTTTATTTAAAGAGAAAAGAATTTCGTTTAAAAAAAAAATCATCATCAACAACATCTTATCTATTATTTTTGAAAAACGGAACGAAAAAGAAAAAAATTCAACACAACACGCCACATATATCGACTATATACTTTTTGTCTGGTCGAGTTTTTGTTATAATAGTAAGAAAAAAACAAAGAACAACATTCCAGTACAGGTAAAAAAACAAATAACGTTTATTTCAGAATGAAAACTTGCCATGAACTACTCAACATCAACATACTGATAGCATTGAAGAATGTAGGCAACATGTGCATGTGTTGTAATAGTTATGAAAGAATTTATCATATACACCCTCGGATAGAATGCAAATAATAAGAAAAAAAAATGATTAGTTTCAACTTCTAATATAAGCGCTTAGAGGAGAGTGAGAAATAAAATATGGTATGGTATTCAAATTGGTATCAAATTCAAATTTGAAGAATAAGAGAATCATTATGTTAAACTTTTAGAAATATTTTATTCTTTTAGATTTATGGCTATCCGTTTTCTCTCTCTATCGGTCAATTGCTTCTGCTTATGTCTTACCTTTTTATCAGAGGCAAGTTATAACAGATCAGCATACATTATTGGTTTATTTCTGCGAGAAAAGATCAAGATGAGTTTATCATAGAGCGTTAGAGTTTCCAGTAAAGGATATAAGTGATGAAGATATTCATCGAACGATAGTAACATGAGTTTAAATTCTAAGATATTACACGAAAATAATCGACGTTGGTCGCTTAAGCTACCTAATAGATGTTCGAGTTTTCTGTTCAAAATATCACAACAGATAACGACAATATATTTAGGAAAATTCTCAAAAAATTTTGACCAGGACCTCTGTCCTTCAAAAGTTATGAAACTTTTCGTGACAGTGCTAAAAACAGTCTAAAATGATCACTGTATAAAACTTTTTTTACCTGAACATGTTACTGCATTCAATATTACTTATAATTGAATAAATGTATCTCTATTATAAATTCATATTGTATAAGTCACTTGGTTGTTGTACAGGTGAGCTCAAACGTGAGTCGAAAATAAAAAATGACCTATTTTGAAAATCGATTTTCTCGTCCGACAGTGTTCCAAATAGGAAGGCACGTATGCTATTGCAATCTATAGATCTAATACTATCGATATTTGAAAGCCGATTTTTGAAGGATTCACATACGGTCCGGAGAACTTCAGAGGAAGATCTTCAAATACTCAATTTTTTTAAGGTTGATTTCGCATAGACTATAAAAACTATAAATCAATAATATAAGAAGACACTTTAGAAGATGATTCATCAGTGGTCGATGCCGACTACAAAACGATCATTTACATTTACGGTTCGTTTAAAAATATTCGAAAATAAATTACGGTTGAAAGTTAGACGATGACTACGATTAAAAGGATGAAAAAGAATGGAAAAAGATAAAAATGATTCAGAAAACAAAACGACGTTTTTTAACTTAGATAACAGCTTCATAACTTTTGAAAGAAGGACATCCTGGTAAAAAGCTTTTTGGGAATCTTTCGAAATATGTTCCTGAAATATTATGAAATTTTGAACGAAAAATTCGAATTGAGCAGTTTGGGTCGGCTCTACTGTGTAGTGACTCTGAAGTAAGCACTAGATTAAGACAAAATGGGAAAATAATTAAGTATTCTATCCCCCTATTATCCATAGTTATTATCAATCTGTCATCACATTATACAAACGATGTTGTTTTCCTCATTCTCTTTTTTTTTTTTAATATGAAACAAATATATCACACGTCTCCAGTTTTTTAGAAAAACTAACAACAGAGTACACATTTTCTTATGAAGTAAAGAAAAAACAAAATGTTAAAAATAAACTTTGAACAAATAAACAGCAAAATCACTAACACGTGTTACAAATAGGAGAAGAACTAAAAAATAAGACCAGACAAGGATTATCAAGAGACACAAAACTTTAATTTTAAAAAGCTAGTTATTTACGTCAACAATTTGATGTTTTCCAATCTCTCTATGATGAAAAAGCAAAATGAATTTAGGCAATAAAACACATGAAGAAATAGAGAGATATACATACAAGAAGATGATTAAAAATCGTTAAACGTCGGATGTTTATTCTGAAAAATTAAATGTATGTGTCGAATACATCAAAATTATCATAATAGTACGTGTTGATAAGAAAACTATAATTGCCTAAAGAGAACGTGAGGATGTAAAAAAGAACAAAAATGAATACATGTTGACTGTGTATCACAAAAAAAGTGTTAAAGACAAATGAGTTCATTGGAAAAAGAAACTCAGAATACATTCAATACTTGTGATAAGAAAGAATAACAAAATTGTTCTTTATTTTTAATGGATATTATTTGTGTGATTGTATCATTTCTTTCCACGTAGAATTTTTCCTACACGACTACGATCTTCAAAGAGACTTCTTATCATTAGTACTTGAATTAATCCTATGAAATAATAAGAAAAAATAATCAAGTTGTAATCTTTAAATTTGATATATTGACTTACCCACACCAATTAACAGTGCTAAATGAATAATAGACCAAAAATTCACTCGTTCAAAATTATTTTCAACAATAACACGATCATGTATTTCAAAATTACGAAATGATTGTTGATATCTAAAAAATAGACAAAAATGTATTAGTCAAGTTTCTCTTCTCATTTATATACAGAAAATAAAATACCGTTGTGCTTGTTCCATATTATCCCATATTCTTTGAAAAAGGTCCTAAACAGAAAGTAACAATGATACTATGTAATACTTCTTTTTTTTTTTATTGAAAATAATATACTTTAATTTCTTGTATCCTCATTTGTAAATCACCGAGATCATCTTTCGCCACATTGTTCATCCATTCTTCATCTAAATCTCCAAAATTTCCATTGACATTATCCATTAATCGTATACTAAAATAAACCTGTAAATCTAACTATTATTAACTGATATACCTTATTTTTTTTCTTTCGAAGTTACCTGTTTTTGAACAAATCTTGAAAATGAATTATCAAAACAAAAACGATATTCTCCAGTTTCCTCTAATTTTAATGATTGATGACCTTCTTTCTTTCGAATATCTGATTGTAAAACACGATTGGTGGGAGAATAAAACCAGTAAGTAATATCAAAATCACCGCCAGAAAGTACTTCATACTCAATTTCGACTGTTTTTCCTGCGTCAAATACTTGATGAAAACATTCTCGTTGTGATGCTGGAACTAAAACTGTAAGTTCAATATCAAAACTGAATATACATCGATTTAATAAAAATAAAGTAATCAATGATAACAAAGAATCAAATATATTCATCTAAAATAAAATCTAGTAAAATTTACAAATGACATTGGTAAGTGCAAAGAACACACACTTCACATGCATTCTTGAACAACTAACACAGTGAGATAAGAATGAAAATATTTAATCTGAAAATATTCACGAGTACAACAATTGTCAATCAATAGACTAGCCATCGTTTTTTTGTGATGTAGGTTCTTTCTCTATAGGAACACATGCTATCTTCAGTACTCATGCGTCTACTTTAACATTTACTCTATGTGTATAATACTTATCATAACGTATACAGAATTTTGTCAATGGATGACAACGTCTGAAATCCAATGCTATAAGCAATGTGGCTAAGTGGTAAGGATAGAACACAGTACAACAAAGCACAAAATGCGAAATAGGACACCTCAAGTTTACTTTTGAACAATTTAGTTCAAAACTAAAACTCATGCCTTAGAATTCAGTATTGTGTTTTATTCTTCCAACTATGTTGTGTTGTTTTGAGTTTTACCTCTTTCTATTCTAATCTAGTTTTCTCTTTCAATATCTGAAAAAACTGACATTTATCATCGTAATACAAAATGTATTTTAACTGTTTTAAGCCGTAGTTGTAAGGCTACGTATTGTGCAAAAACAAATAGCATATTTTTAAAAATCATAAACAAAGTTCATTATCAACGTTCATTATCTTGTAAAAAAATATCTGCTTATAATAACAAATAACAAAAAGTGTAACAGCAAAACAACACAGTAGAACAAAAAATATTTTACTATGATTTCTATTATAGATGTTGATAAGATCACATCAGAACAGATATCTTATGCTTAACAAATAAAATATTTCTATTAGAAGCAAAGTACACGATGAATCAAACCTGATGATAAAAATTTTATTCATTTTCTATTTGTTTTACACATTTGAGAGAACTCAATATATCCCAACTTTACTTTTGACTCTCACTTGTTCAGCAATCTCTTCTTTCTATAATCTGTCCACGTGTATCATTTTTAAGTTGATAAATTTTTCTTGAACTTTTTTCGATTTTTATTTGTTATTCCATCTTCTATCTCATCGCATAACATATGTTTTTTTGCGATTAGATTTAAATTTGTTTTCCATTGTTCAGGTCGTAAACAGTATGCATTCAAATTCATTTTATATGTTATAAATTTTCCATATTGATTTGATCGCAATATATTAAATTCATCTGACATTTTATCAGCTATTTTTATTTTCTGTTCAATATTGGCATTAGTCCATAATGTATCTATCACCCATGATCCAAATTTATCACATGCCATTTTAGAATAATATGATTCAAGTTTTGTATAAAATTGTTGACGAAATTCTTTGCCATTAAACCACAATGTACATTTTTTTATTAATTGACACAATAAATGAGATCCATTTGGATCACAAGCAATAGAATTGATTTGTTCACCAGTCAAATTTTCCAATGATGTTTTCGTTAATGAATCAACGATCTTTGCACGTAATAATGCTTGTAATACTAATGAACCATTTTTTGTAATAAATATGGATGATTGATTTTGTGATACTGTTGTCTTATGTTGTCCATCTAAATAGAGAAAAATAAGAAGATTTTAAAAAGTTTGACTATCATCAAAACATCCTGTAATTTTTATAAAGATTTTAGATCACATTTTTACGCATAAGTCAATAAAGATAATAAACAAACCTGAATTATCTTCATTATTATTTGTCTTCATATTAGATTGAAGTACACGTTGAACAAAGTCATGATTTTTTTTCTTACAATTCAAATATTTTCGGTAATGTTTAATTAAATCATCATATTTATAATTAAAACGTTCGCATACTCGAATAAATGTTATTAACATGTTTATATGGCATTGCTCTATTAATATATGAAATTTTTCAGTAATAATGTTTTGATATAATTGTGAAATTATCGATATGTCAGTAGTTGTCATCAATAGTTTTTGAATAAAATAATTTCCAATTGAATGTAAACAAAATTCATCCGTTTTAGATAAAATTAACGGATATAAAATATCATTCCGTTGAATAGAATCAAATTGAAGTATAATCTCGAACACATAAGACGCATTTTTATCTAATACATAATCTGTAAGTTCAAATGTTGATCTAGTCAGTTTAAATAGTTGTTTTAATAGTTTTTTATATTTTTTCTCATATAAAAATCCACAAATACGTAATATTGATGCAAATACCATAGCAGTACCAGGATCATTTAATAATAATGCTAAATCAGCTATTTCTTCGTTAAAAAAATAATTTGTGATTTGACGAAGTTTATCTTTGATATTCCATTCTGTTGGTAGTTCATAATATTTCAATGGTGTTGCTCCACCATCAATCAACCGTTCATATTCATTATCAAATTGCTCAACATTTTCCATATGTAAAAATTCGATAGTTGCAACGATAATATGGCATGAACCGATTTGTTGTAAATATGTTAAAAAATTTGTGCATATACATGAGAATAATTGATCATAAGCAATATGAAGTCTTTCAATAAGTTCACTATTGTTGATTTTTTCTTTATCAATCATTGATGGTAGACGTCGAAGTAGTTTTTCCAATAAGTAACATGTTCCTTTATCATTGATTAAATCATCAAAATCATCAGATAATTTTTCAAAGTAGGTTGTCAGACAAGTTAACGCCGATACGTGAGGAAGAAATTCTTCCAATTCACGAGGACAACTTTTAGTAATTGCTAATGCTTCGTTACATGCTTCATTAAATACTTTATTAGCTAAATCGACACGATCCTCATTTTTTGAACACTGATGAAATAGAGCTAATGCTTCTCGATAATATTTGCTCGACATTTATCTGAAAATATAAAATGTATACAGGATTCGTAATAACAAAAAGCTTTTGTAAGCCATTTTAGTAGATTCTAAATAGAAAAGTAGAACTCATGCTCTAAAACACTTTTGAATTCAACAATATCACATAAGTGAGGTTACAATCGAAGCAGTCTCTGTTTACTTTACAGTACACTAATTAAGTAGAATCTAGGATATTACTAGTTATTTTGCTTTAAAATTCGAAATGTGAAAACATGACGTAGAAACGTGTCGACATACTACATTTTTGAAAACGTTATTTTTACGTGCTTTGTGTCGTAATGTATAATACTTTTTATGCGTGATATGGTGCTTAAATGGATTGAAATCAACTGGAGAAAACTGGCATTGTAACACTTTAAATATTAAGTACAATAAATGTCGGAACTAAATATATAGTTTTGTAGAGAACGTCTTTTGGTTATATAAAGTGCATTGTCAATAGATCACAATTCTTTTCGAGAAATAAGACTTGAGAGAAATAAAACTTGAGTTTAAAATATCAAAGTAGCACATAAATGAGAGTCATAGATTAAGATGTTAGTAGTAAACTGAAAACTTCAAAGAAAAAAAATAGAGTAATCAAATCTTTGTACGTTAAACTTACTAAAAAGCGGAAAAAAATTGAAAAAGCAAAAATTGTAGTATAAAACCCCGAAAGTAGCTTTTAGTAAAACGTAGGATATTTATTTATGAAGCCTGTATACATGATAGCAAGCAAATTTTGTAAAATAAAAACTTAGCTTTCTTCTTTCTACCTTCAAATGTAAATCAACATACGTTGATTCTGATGTTGTTCATGATCGTGCTTCACCTGTTACGTTCAATAGTTTTAAAAAAGAATGATTTTCCCAGAAACCTACAGAGATTTTCTTTACTAAAAAAAAATGTATGAAAGGCAGTAATTTTATGATTTCTAAGAGTAGGATGATGCAATTAAAGTTCAGTTCTTTTGAAAGAGAACTAATCACTCGTTCTTTGCAAAAGAACACTAACTGATTACCATTTCTTGTTAGAAATAATAAGATCTCTTACCATGCGAAAAAAAGATGCGTGCTTCACGTATAACGGCTAACTAGTAGTATACAGATATTACAGCCGATGATCTTTTACTGTCGGATACGAAAGCAGTTGATAGGAATAACTGACAGTTCCAGTTCTCATAATTCGAAAGAACTGGTGAAAAGTTCCCTCGACCAGCTTTTAGGAACTATAAGAACTGGAACTACCTTATTCCTATCTAATAGTACTTAAATTGCCTTAAGCTCCATAATTTTTAAGTAGGAAGTATATACACGCATAATAATGAGTGATCATCCGCAATTAGCTGTAGACTCTATGTGAAAAAACGAAACAATGATTATTTTGACAAATGTTCGGTGATGCGGATACAGATAAACATCAGAGAGTCTACCAACATATGAGAGAAACGTAACTTTCTGGTACAATCGATAAAAAAAATGAAAGTGTTCATTAAAAAAATTTGAATGGTACGTTTTGTTCCCCTGTCTTTGCCGAGTATCCTATAAAAATTT